CTTATACCAACAATTGTACATATAAACTGTTGCAGATGCTCTTAGCTGAAGGCGTATTCTTTAATCTTAGCCATTCATTCAATTAAGAGGTGGTGTATTGAAACAGAATTCTGTAACATGCGCAACCCAATAATCCAATAAATGATCTTCCTTTTGGTCGGCTACTGAAAGTCTGAATGCTGTACAGATATTAGAATCTGTTACAGTATCTAAAATTTTCTCGATAAAAGGTAAAGGGGATCTTGTATTTAGATAGCTGACAAAAGCATGAAGTAGCCGGTATGGAAACAAACAGCCTATAAGCACCCAGGTTCATGTCACATCACGGGCACACAGAGGTCATGTTGATGGCTTACCCGTCAATGGGATTAGATTTAGAAATTCAGAAACCATGGCCTACAAGTCCAAGCGGTGGTTGAGGGAATTCGTGGATGATGATAGCTTTACCGCAACTTTCCAGTCATTTATTCAGACCATAGGATTCGTCCACATATATGCTTCTTCAACCACGATATCCTCTCATACGTCTTCCCCGCCACCCCACGGCCAAAATTTTCTCCTCCTATGGCTACTACAAGCTGCTGGTTCTTGGTGTTCGTCTGGGTAGTATGGGGGCTGCCACTGACGCTCGCCGGGGCTGAGGAGCAGCAAGGGGAAGGCTGCTCGACCTCGGCCAAGACGTGCGGCAACCTCACCATCACCCATCCCTTCTGGATAGCTGACAGGGAGGCGGGAAGATCCTGCGGTCCCTTGGACTTCCAGGTCGGTTGCTCAAATGACAGCATTCCGTTTCTCCGGAGCTCTGGATTCACTGGATACACCGGCTTTGCAATCATGGACATCTCATACAAGGACCGCAATCTGCGTGTCGTTGATGTACGCAAAGAGGAGGACTTCAATGTCTCCAACAGCCGCTGCAATTTCCCGAGTTGGAACACCTCCAGTAAGCTGGCACTGCCGTTTAAGGTCAACCCCGCCAACCTGAACCTCATCTTCTACAAGTGCACAAAAAGGGTGGCGCTAGTGGAGGTGAGATGCGTGAACACAAGCAACGTGTTTGTTCGCGCGGGAGTGCGTTTCGATGAGATGAGGAACTACGTCGACTATGCCTTGGAGGGCTGCGACGCTATCGTCGTGCCGGTGATGGGCTCGTCGGACGGGGCCAACGCGAGCCACTTCGAGCAGCTCATCAGCGATGGCTTCCTCCTGACATGGGATCCACCCCCTACAAGTAAGTTCACCGGCCAATCATCTTTTAATCAAGTTCGTAGCTAAGCTAGGACGTGGAGTGCCTAAGTAACTTGTTGATCGTGTTAATCACTAACCGAGGATAAGGTTGAAGTTGATCGTGTTGCGGATGTTCCCCGGTGTCGGCAAGCACCGCACTTGCTCCTTCCTGCCAAAGATTTGGGTTGACTTTACCATAGGCCAGCCTATATTTCCTTTTGTTTTTATTTACTTCGCATATTAGCTTTGTCTTGAGTCAAACTTTGTAAACTTTGATCAAATTTGTACAAAAAATTATTAACATCCACAATACCAAATCAATACTATTAGAACCAGCATTCAATATATTTTCATACTATATATATTTGTTATTGTAAACGTTTAGATTTTTTTGATAAACTTAATCAAACATTATAAAGTTTGACTTAAATCAAAACTAATATACGGAGTAAAGAAAAACGGAGCGAGTACTAGCAAAATTGGCACGTGTAGAATTTTCTCCAGCAATCCGTAAGAAACCAATCACACTTTCAGCTTCAGACATACATGCAAATGGGTCTATATCCAATTTTTTCACCTTTTCGATGGTTGAATTATGGTTAGTTGGCCCATATAGGTGGACAAATGCACACGTCTTGTTATTTGGGCCGGCCATTGCCACAACCCATGTTCGCCTTTTTTTTGCAAAAAAGTATTTTTCTTAATAAGATTTTTATTTACAAATACTATCAAAATTTAGCTCTAAACAAATATTTCCCAAATATATGTTTAAAAAATAAACAATAGATTGCGGGGAATGAAAGAAATGTCCATTCATACAAACAGTTATATTAATGTGTAGAAAGTCCATGTATTATTTTAAATTGTATATGTTAAATAAAATGTTCATTGTGTATTTTAATTTTTCATGTATACAAAATATTGTGTTCATATGTTTTAAAAGTGTACATAATTTTTAATGAACCAAAGAAAAATAAGTAAAAGAGGAAACTAAGTATAAAATAAAATAAAAGGATGTAAAATAAGGAAAGTCTGAAATAAAAAAGCACGTTAAAACCAGGAGAAAACGAAATCCATCAGAAACAAGAAACCCCAACCGTGCAAACCTTGTTTTGGGTCTTAGCCCCCTAGTTTTCCTATAGGCAAATACAGCAACCCACATCCTCGCTCATACTTATATATCCGAACGTCATGTTTGAATCTTATTTGAGGATCGTTGCGTTGAAAATAGTTGGGCAAGTGACACAGATTTTTTATAGAAAAAACAGTATTTTTCTTAACAGGTTTAAAAAGATGTTGTCAAAAATCAATATGAAGATGGATTTGATGCTTTTAAGCGACATTTCGGACACTATTTAGAACTCTGCTAAGTTGCATGTTACAAAAGCTAAAATGACGCAAAAGTGAAATCCGTGAACTCTAGGTTTGAACGGACGTCTCCCCTGCAAAGAAAGGGAAATCGCAATGAAAAATCTAGAATACACAACCCCAATAGCCAATCATTGTAAGGATCTTCATTTCCACAGATAGTTACCTGTCAGGTGTGAATGTGATAGAAAGATTGGAATCTAATAGCAATATACAAGCGACAAACGCGTCAAAATATACAAGCGACAAGAGCATGAAGTACCCGGAACTGACAGAACCATCGTACCTAATAAGCATCCTGGTTCAAAGTCACATCACGGGCTCGCTGAGGTCATGGTCATGGCCTACGGACCAAGGCGGTTTACTCCCAAGGCCTCGGGTTTTAAGGTTCAAGGCTTTCCAGCCCAGGGGGTCAATTGGGGAATTTCGTGGAGGACGATCGCTAGGGGAAAATTTCCAGTCAAATGTTCCGGCTAATAGTACTCCACTTGCTTGCCGTCCCCTTATATGGTTCATGCTTGGACCATGGTGTTTTCACTCTTACCTGTAGCCGACCACCACAACCCTGCTCACTGCAATCTCTGCAAATCTTCTTCTCCGATGGTTCCCGGCTGTTGGTTCCTCGCCTTCGCCTGGGTTTGGTGGCTGCCGCTGGTGCTCGTGGCGGCTCAGGAGCAGCAAAGCCTAGGCTGCTCGGCCATGTGCGGCGACGTCGCCGTCTCCGACCCGTTTTGGCTCACTGATTGGGAGACGGGAAGATCATGTGGTTCGCCTGGAGCCCCGGACTTCGAGCTGACATGCGTTAAACAGCAGTTATCCAGTTCTGCGGAGCTTTGTGCCCTTCATCCCCGGCTTTTCAATCTCCAACATCTCGTACAAGGAACGAAGCTTACACGCCGTTGATCTGGGCAAGCTGGAACTATTGCGCGGCGCCCGCACCCCATGCCTACCGATCTGGAACACCTCTGTCAAACTGGGCCGCCCGTTTAGGATCGACTCCATCAACCTGAACCTCATCTTCTATAACTGCACTGAGGAGGCCGCGGCTGCGGCAGCGGCACGTCGGGACAGGGGGCTGGTGCACGCGACCACGATGAGGTGCGTGAACGCGAGTAACGCGTTTGTTTGTGCGGGGGTGCGTTACGACGCCACCGGGAACTACTCTGGCTATGCTTTGGAGGGCTGCAATGCTATCGTCCTCCCGATGCGGCGCTAGTCGTCGGGTGAGACATTCACGAACATTCTGAACTCTGAACATCTCAAGTCTGCACTACGGTCCATTGACAGCCCAGTGGCAAAAGGACTCCATGAAACTCGGACTGGTTGGCCTATATTTATTTTTCTGGGGCAATTTCGGCCTAATCACGGTGCTTTGCTCATTAGGTTTTTCTCAGCAATGCTCGTTAGAGGGCCTATGTGGTAACTTCTATTTTTTTTAAAATACTGTCATTTTAATGCAACGACTAATAAAAAAGTCGTTTTAATACGTCAAGAGAATATGTTGAAATTTTTATGTAAAAATAATATTCTTTCATACGCAAACCTACTTTTTATACTAATTAATAAAATTCCATATATTTGAAAGCAACTCCTTGTAACTATAAGAAAAATTGTCATGTATGGCAAAAGAGATGTTCATGTATTTCAGGACAAATATTCATGTTTAAAGAAAGGGTTCAAGACTACGAAAAGAAGTGTACGTATTGTATATTTACCACAGAAGTAATTAAATATAAATAAATTCATATAATAAGACAGCAATTTGGAAAAAAGTAACTAAAAAGTGAAGAAATAAAAAATTAACCAAAAAACAAAAGTAAAAGGCAAAACAAGTAAAATGATTCATCATATAAAAAAGGTAAGTATAAAAAGGATTAATATGAAAACAAAATCCATTTCAAGTGATTTGAATCGAGAAGACCCTAATCAGTCTACGGATTTTTCTATTTGTAAGTTGACTGCGAAGTTGGTTCTGATACGCTGGCCATGTCGCACATCACAAAGGCTATGGTTGCAACCAAAAAAAATACTGTACTTAAGTTAATGGTTAGATGCGAAGGTGCGAGCAAAGTCTAAAGGTTTATTTCTCTCATGAAATATCCTGGTCCTGGTTCCAGTCACATCACGGAGGTCATGGTCATGACATACCTTACCTACAGATTTCATAAGTCATGGCTTACTTAGTACTCCGCTTGATAAGTCTCTGTTGGGAAACTTCCTGGATGATGACCGCTTGGCCCAAATTTCAAGTCAAAAGTTCAATACTACTCTGCTCGTTCACCGTCCCCATAGGCAATATATGTAGTTCAAGCTTCGACCACGGTATTCTTTACGTGTAGTTTCTAGCTACCTTCCCATAGCCCCCTCTTTGTTGTTCATTGCTATCTCTCCAAACCTCTTTGCTCATGAGCTGCTGCTGGTTCTTGGTCTTGGCCGGGGTGTGGTGGCTGCCACCGATGCTCGTGCTGGCCGAGGACCAGCAGGGGGGAGACTGCTCGGCCATGAAGTGCGGCAACGTCAGCATCTTTCATCCGTTCTCGCTCACCGACAGAGAGACGGGAAGATCATGCGGTCCTGATCCCTACCCGGACTTCGATGTCGCTTGTATCAACAACAGTGTTCCCGCTCTACGGAGCTCCATACCCCTCAACCAGGGCTTTGAAATCCTCAATATCTCCTACCAGGAACGCAGCTTGTATGCAGTTGATATGGGCAAGCTGGGCGTGTTGCAAGCCCCGGACAAGTGCCGTGCGGTGTTCTATAACACCTCGGTCAAACTGAACAGCCCGTTCAGGATCGCCCCCGTCAACCTGCACATCATCCTGTACAACTGCACGGAGGAGGATGGAGCAGCGGCCGCGGCACGTCGGAACACAGAGCTGGTGGAGACGAGAGTGAGGTGCTGGAACGAGTGGGAGGTGCTTGCCCGCACGGGAGTGCCTCACGACGTGACCGGGAACTACAGCGGCTACGCTTTGGATGGCTGCCGTGCTATCGTCGTGCCTATGCTGGCCTCGTCGCCGGGGGCCAGTGCGAGCGACTACGAGCAGCTCATGAGGGATGGCTTCCTGTTGACATGGGAGCTCCCCCATCTTGCACCTGCACCTGCACCTAGGATATCGAACGAGCCTCCTCCCCCTGCACGTAAGTTCAGTTCACCACGTCAAATCATCTGTTAATCGAGTTCCTAGAATGTGAACCAGCGTTCTCGGTAGGTTTAGCCGGGTGGATCATTAGATGGTCATTAAGAAGTTGAACTGGGTATGGTAAAGAATAATAAGTGGCTTCTAGGCCTCTACCTAGTCCGACTGAACTCTGAACTTCTCAAGTTTCTTTTTTCCTTTTGAAGGGATGAACTTCTCAGACTAGTGGACAGTATGGTAAAGAATAGTAATTGACATCATGGACTACTTGTTCAATGATCCACTGACAGCCTAGTGGCAAATAGACTTTATGGAAAACTCAAGACTTGTGGGCCTATATTTTTTTCTAGGGCAATTTTGGCCTATTTACGGTGCTTTGGCCGTTAGTCGTGTGGAACCACTAATGGGCCTGCCACTTATGCAGCCCACTAATGCAACTTTTTTATAAATAAGTTATACACTTTTATATTTAAAAAGTGTTCTGTTCGATACCATTTTTATGAATTGGCATATAAAAGAATACTTTAAAAAATCAAGAGGAGATGTTGAATGTTTGTATAAAAATATACTTATGTCATACATAAGCCTACTTCATATACTAATTATAAAATGTCAAAATATTTGAAAATAAATGGTACTTTTAAGAAAGAAATGGAAATAAAAAAGAAAGAAAGACAAATAAATAAGAAATAAAATTAAAAGGAAAAAAATGAAAATGATGAATATGAAAAAAAAGTTTCCCGCAAAAAAGAAAACAAAAGAAAGATGACAATGCAGAAAAGGACTAAAAGGAAAAAAGAATAACTCATATTTTGTGTGCCCAACTGCATCCGTTCTTCACTCCCACTTCAGGCAGGACTAGGATTTTTCGTGTAGTCTGGGTCTATGGTGCAATTGTACAGTAGAGATTATCGTGCGATAGTGAAGGGAATCTGTTGGCAGGGGATACCCGTGACACTGTTTTCGATCCTTGGTCGCGGGCCGCCAATCCCTTTGTGTTTTGGGGGCTCTTAAAACATAACCAAATAAACAATGAATGGCATGGCATATTGTTTGCTAAAATGAAAGCAATTGGATAAGTGATAAGGGTTGTTTTGTTACATCACATGGATGTACAATTTTCTTGCATCAGGGTTGTGTGGATCGATTGTGCGAACCCTGAGAGTTTGTTTAACCCCCTTATGTGAAAACACAATAAAACCTTAACAAGTCAACACAAGGCACAAACAAATTATAAGGTTTAAAATCTTTAGATTTGAACATGTCTTGTAGAAAGATATAAAGACTAAAGTTATATGCGACCCATTGTAATTCATTTGGATCAAAAGGCCCAAATCATTCCATGGATTTGCTATTTGTAACTTGGCTAAGAAGTTGTTTTTTTCCTACGCTGGCTATATTGCACATCACAAAGGCTAACATTACAAAAAAAGGTGTTTAAAATGTTAAATATGCAACTGTAGGTTTGAAGGCTTTATTTACTGGGCATTCCGTATTCCCTCTGTCCGGGTTTATAATGGCAATTAATCTTGTCTTAACTCAGACGGTTTTGAAACTTATCAGGTTAATAGGAACAAAAACTATGTCTATCAGGGCTTCGCACTTGGCTGGTTTATAAGGCCTTATAAGACAAGATTAATACTCGGTACCAGGCAAGTGTGAAGCGCAAGATTAATACGTAGTTTGGCTCGTTTGCCTTTTGGCTTGCATGGCAGAGTAGTCTCGCCTCTGTTTGCTGTTAGTCTCTGAGAGTTGGGTGGTAGTGCCTGTGTCAGATGCTTGGGAATTAGGAGCGTTGGGAGTTGATCGTAGGTTGTAGCTGTGCTCTACGGGAGGACGAGGCTTGAAGCCTCGTCGCCCCGTGGCAGGGAAGAGGAGAGGCGCACAAGGCGCAGGGTAACCAAGTTGTGTTTTTTCTTGCTTGATTCGTTCCTCCACAGGGAGGCAATATAAATAGTCAAGTTACATGACGACTCCTACTAGAAATAGAAACAGACTCCTACTTGTTTTAGGAACAGTAGGGAAAACCTTCTTTGGGACAAAAAACCCTTCCGTTCCCAAACCTGATTCTAATTGATATTAATTTGGACACCCCCTGTCCGCTGGCCTCCTCTCTCTGGTTGTACGTCTCCTATACGTACGCCCCCACATGACATCTCCCCCTCCATTCTGAAACAGCTCGTCCTCGAGCTGGAAGCTTGGATAGCGTTCTTTGAAGGCTGGAACATCCTCCCATGAAGCATCAGACGCCGGTTGGCCCTCCCAATGGATGAGAACTTGTTGCATACCACTGAACAGTTGTGCACGCAGCGCCTTGGAAGGTGTTGGCTGAACACGGCCTTGGAAGATGGCTGGCAGCACCGGTGGATCATCTGGAGGAGGGCCTTGGTATTTCTTCAGAACACCCACATGGAAAACATCATGGATGCGGGCGCGGGGTGGAAGCTCCAAACGGTAGGCAACGGAATCAATTTTGGCGAGGACTTTGTAGGGACCAAAGTACTTAGGTGCGAGCTTTCCTTTTGCAGCAGATCCAAGGAACGCTGCTGGACGGTGCTGCAAACGCAACCAAGCCCATTCGCCGACCTCAAACGAAAGTTCCCGATGCTTGCCATCATAGTAATGCTTGTAATGTTGCACAGCCCGAAGGAGACGGTCACGAACATCGATAAGGAACTGGCCCCGGTCTGCAATGTTGCGCTCGACAGCCTGATTACGCAGCTCACCCGGAGAGTATGCACGGAGGGAAGGCGGATCACGACCATACACCACACGAAACGGCGTATCCTTGAGAGCGGTGTGGTAAGATGTGTTGTAGCAGTACTCCGCCCATGGCAGCCACTGAAGCCACTGTCGGGGCCGGTCACCAGTGAGGCAGCGTAAGTACATAGCAATTACCCGATTAACGGCCTCCGATTGGCCATCAGATTGCGGGTGAAAAGCTGAGTTCATGTTTAGGCGAGAACCAGAAGCAGCAAAGAGAGCCTTCCAAAAGCCAGAGGTGAAAACAACATCTCGATCAGAAACGATGGAGGCTGGTACGCCATGCAGACGAACAATGTCAGCAAAGAAGGCTTTGGCCACCGTCTCAGCTGTGTACAGATGCGCTAACGGAATGAAATGTGCATATTTGGAAAAACGATCCACAACGGTAAGAATGACACACTTGCCGCCCACTTTTGGTAACCCCTCGATGAAGTCCATGGCAATGTCCTCCCAAATCCGAGATGGTACTGTCAAGGGCTGAAGCAAGCCTGCTGGATGGAGCTGCTCAGTCTTGTTACGCTAACAAACTAGGCAGTTGCGGATGTAGTCCTGAATAGCTGTCCGGGCCTGTGGTAGATGGAAGTCACGACGAAGACGGTGTAACGATTTCTGAATACCCTCATGGCCGGTATCATGGGATGCTGCGAGTATATCTGCCACAAGTGGTGAGGAAGGTGGCACATAGGCACGACGCTCAAAAGTGACAATGCCATCGATGAGTGCCCATGGGGGTCCCAGCTCGCCGTTCTCTAGTTGTTCGCGGAATGCCATGAGAGCTGGGTCAGTGTGTGCAGCCCGACGAAGTTCCTCAAATAGATCAAAGGAAGGACCGCTTATGGCGCACACACGGGCATCAGAAGTGTCGCGCCGCGACAGTGCGTCAGCCACAATATTCTGCCGGCCAGGCTTGTACTCCACGGTAAAATCAAAGCCCAGGAGCTTGCCAACCCAATGATGTTGTGGGATAGTCGCGAGGCGCTGGTCCAGAAGGAACTTGAGGCTGTAGTGATCGGTTTTGACAACGAAGGCACGACCCCAGAGATATGGCCGCCAATGGCGCACAGCTTGTACGAGACCAATAAGCTCGCGCTCGTATGCAGCAAGGGAGACATGATGAAGAGCAATAGGCCGACTGAAGTAAGCAATGGGTCCCGCACCTTGGTGTAACACTGCGCCGAATCCCGAACCAGAGGCATCACATTCCACAATGAATGGCACGGTGAAATCCGGAAGTTGAAGCACTGGTGCTGTAGCCAGGGCAGTCTTCAATCTTGTAAAAGCATGTGTTGCCTCCTCAGACCAGAGAAATCCATCCTTTTTGAGCAACGCTGTGAGGGGTGCTGCAATAATGCCAAAATCGCGGATGAACTTCCGATAGTAGCCGGCCAACCCCAAAAAACCGCGGACCGCACGAACTGTGCGCGGCACCGGCCAGTCAACAACAGCCATAACCTTTTGATTGTCCATGGCGACACCGTCGATGGAGATGACATGACCGAGGTACGTAACCGACTCCTCCCCAAAAGAGCACTTGGAGCGCTTGAGAAATAACTGGTGCTGGCGCATGAGCTCCAAAACGACTCGCACATGTCGAACATGCTCCGACCATGAAGCGCTGTACACCAAAATATCATCAAAAAATACTAACACAAATTGGCGTAAATGGGGCCGAAGTACGTCGTTCATCAAAGCCTGGAAGGTTGTCGGCGCATTTGTGAGTCCAAAAGGCATGACGAGGAACTCAAACAGGCCCTCGTGTGTCCGGAACGCTGTTTTGTGGATATCCTTAATATGCATGCGCACCTGGTGATAACCAGATCGCAAGTCCAGCTTTGTGAAGAAGCTGGCGCCCTTTAGCTCGTCCAGTAGCTCGTCTACTACAGGAATAGGAAACTTGTCCTTGATGGTGTTGGTGTTGACGCCGCGAAAATCGACGCAGAAACGCCAGGAGCTGTCGTGCTTCTTCACCAGAAGAACGGGTGAAGAGAACTCACAAGTGCTGCGGCGGATAAGGCCGCGCTCCAACATGTCTGCGCACTGTCTCTCGAGCTCGTCTTTTTGGATAGCCGGGTAGCGATATGGTCGAACAGCCACCGGTGCGGTACCAGGCACCAAGCGGATGCGATGGTCGTGAGTGCGAGGCGACGGCAGGCCCCGAGGCTCTGCGAAAACGTCAACGCATTCATTGAGGAGGCTGTCAAGAAGCTCCCGCCCGGAACAAGCGTGAATGTGGTGGGGTTGGGTTGACGCCGCGATACCATACCACTCAACGCGATGGTCGGACCGCCAGAAGGACATCCAGAGACGCGTGAAGTCCCAAAGTATGGGCCCGAGTGTCTTGAGCCAGTGTGTCCCGAGAACGACGTCAAACCCACCCAAGGGAATGGCGTAAAGATCGACGAGGAAGTCTTCTTGGCCTATGGTGATGGCAGCCTGCCGAACAAGACCACCACATGTGACGTGATCTCCATTGGCTACTGTTACGCGGAGGCGGCGCCCTGTGGAGAAGTGGCTGCCCACTTGTGCAGCAAGCTCCTCGTTGATGAAATTGTGAGTGCTACCAGAGTCGAGGAGAGCGACCAATTCGCGCTCGCCTACACGGACCACTAGCTGCATTGTGTCGCTGGTACGTACGCCGGTGATTGCGAGCAGCGAGATGTGTAGATTGTCACCATTGTCTTCCTCGTCATCGTCGGCGGACTCGATGTAGAAGAGACGCTTGCAGCGATGTCCTGAAACATACTTCTCATCGCAGTTGAAGCATAGTCCCTTGCTGCGTCTGTCCTCCATCTCGGCGGCGTTAAGCTTTTTGAAGATAGGCCCGCCCCCAGAAGAGGGGTCGCCTGTGGCAGCACCTGGGGCTGCTGGGACAGGGCGTGTAGGACGACCAGGGCGTGTCGGAGTGGCAGCAGTAACCGTGGTTACCATGGCAAGGTGTTCATAGGAGACGGCCATGTCCATAGCATCCTCGAGAGTAGCTGGACGCAGCAGCTCGACCTGTGTTTTTAGTGGCTCGCCCAGATTATTGGTGAAGATGTTGCGCTCCTCGTCATCTGGGATGGGGTTGATGCGGGACAAGAGTTGGAGGAACTGTTTAGTATACTCCGCCACCGAGCCCGTACGACGGAGGGAGATGAGCTCACCGAAGGGGTTGGCACGTGCGGGAGGGCCAAAGTGCTGGCTGACCCGCGCAACAAAGTCTGCCCAAGTTGGCCGGCCGATCTTCTCCTCTAGATGGCCATACCAAAGGGCAGCCACATCTGTTAGATGGTATGACGCCATCCAAGTCTTGTCCGTGTCAGGCGTGCGCTGGCCAAGGAAAAACAAATTGCATCTAGTCAACCATGGTCGAGGGTCGCCTTCACCGTTGTAGGTAGGGAAGTCGAGCTTGTAAAGGCGGGGTGGACGCTCGTCGGCGGAACCAAGTGGAGCCTGCAACCCGAGTTGACCTCCGACGCGGGCAGCCGCTGATTGGGTGTCGGCGGTAACGAGGGAAGGCTCGCCACGGCTCGCACGCTCCAACCTGGTGATGGCCAGGTTTTGTGCGCGCTGTTGTTGTGATAGATCGCTGAATTCTGTTCTGAACGCCGTCAGGGCATCGGTGACATCCTTTAGGGCCTTGGTCATGTCGCTGCGGAGGAGTTCGACGCCCTCGGCCAGATCGCCCAGATTTTGCTGGACGTCCTCGAAATCTGCATGTTCCTTGGCAGCGAGGTCTTCGAGGGTTTTAGGAAGATCAGGCTTCTTGGGAGAGGACGACATGGTTGCAGGCGCAACGGAGATCGATGAATCTGATACTAAATTGTCAGATGCTTAGGAATTAGGAGCGTTGGGAGTTGATCGTAGGTTGTAGCTGTGCTCTACGGGAGGACGAGGCTTGAAGCCTCATCGCCCCGTGGCAGGGAAGAGGAGAGGCGCACAAGGCGCAGGGTAACCAAGTTGTATTTTTTCTTGCTTGATTCGTTCCTCCACAGGGAGGCAATATAAATAGTCAAGTTACATGACGACTCCTACTAGAAATAGAAACAGACTCCTACTTGTTTTAGGAACAGTAGGAAAAACCTTCTTTGGGACAAAAAACCCTTCCGTTCCCAAACCTGATACTAATTGATATTAATTTGGACACCCCCTGTCCGCTGGCCTCCTCTCTCTGGTTGTACGTCTCCTATACGTACGCCCCCACATGACAGCCTGTCTCATCTTTCTATCCTTTTTGGACCCAGTAACTTCGTGTCAAATTTTGGCTGTTTACCTAAACATGACACCTGGTTTTCACTATGGAAAAAACTCCTACTTTCTTTTTACCTGTGCTATCTTTGCAGTATCTGTGCCCATGTAAGCAGATAGATAGATGTTTTATCGTTTTGAGTTCAGAGCCCGGGTGCTTTGTGCTCTTGTCTGTAAACAAAGAGTACGAGTGGGCACAGTTTTATATTAGTAGCACTGGATGCTCATGAACACAAGCGGAAAGAAAGTTACCAGTAGTCCTAGACGTAGCCTACGGCGGACGACTGGATCAGCCTAGTTTGAACTCTGGACCCTGAAGCCCAGCTTGGTAGTACCCACACTGATGGACAATGTCTGAACATAGCATCAATTTTGGTGCCATTTGGTGTCAACAACGGCTCCCTGCTCGTCTCCAACGTTCACAAGCTCGGCGACTTCAATCTCTCCGGCGAGAAAGGATGTCACGTACCCAAGCCCAACACCGCCAGCAAAATCGGGCCTCCGTTCTCCATGAGCAGCTTCAACCTCAACCAGAACCTCATCTTCTACAAACTGCGCTAGGGCACCGTCGCTCGCTGGAGACGGTGCGCCGAGCGGGGCTGGTGGAGACGGTGTGCCGGAACAACACGTTTGCCCGCGCCGGAGGGCGTTACAACGCCACGGGCGTGATCGTCCGAAGCTACGATTCGCCCGGCCGCAACACCACCGCCGTGCCGATGCTTGGGGCGTCTGGGAAGATGAATGCCAGACACTACCAGCCGACGAGTCACCGTAAGTTCACCCGTGAAACTGATCATTTTCTATCGGGTTCCTAGGAAACAAACAATTTAGGCAGTGTTCGGAAACGCTCCGCTCCTCAACTCAGCTCCCGAAGCGGGCAGAGCTGTAGTTGAAAATCATAGAGCTGCACTTTTCTCGCTCCCGAGATTCCTGAAGTGGGTGGGTTCCCGAACAGGGCCCTAGTCTCAGATTCCTTATCTGCCAGACCATGGCGGTTTGGCAAGCCGTCGGCATCGCCGTGGCGGGCCATGGCGGCCGCTCCATGCCGCCGCCGCCGCAGCATCCCTGAAAACAATTTCCAAACGAAATAGAGCGTTGACTCTGACTGGTCAAGCCGCTCTGGCCTCCGTCATTTTTTTTCCCACGTCGCACATCCCACCCGCCGTTCTGTCCCGTTGCTCCTCCTTGTTAACTAGTCACCTCGCCCGCTCCGGTTACTCAGCCGCTCCGCTCTCCATCCCCAATTATTCCAACCCATGCCGCCGCTCCAGCTGCTTCCCCTCCTGCTCCTGCTCGTCGCTTCCTTTCTCCGGCTGCCGGCGCCGGCCGCCGCCGCCTGCTCGCCCAAGAAATGCGGCGACCTGAACATCAGTTACCCGTTCTGGCTGGAGGAGAAAGGCCAGACGCCGTGCGGGTCCCCGTCCTTCCAGCTCAACTGCAACGGCAGCCAGGCTCTCCTCAGCCGCTCCATGTTCGGGGGCTACCAGGTTGTCCAAGTCTTCGCCGAGAACTCCTCCTTCCTCGCCGTCGACAACAACCTCCCGCTCGACGACGGCTGCCCCAAGTGGTGGTTCAACATCTCGCTGGGTCTCGGGCTGAGTCCGTTCGTCATCAGCAGCAAGAACAGGGAGCTGCTCGTCCTCGACAAGTGCACGGAGCAGCAGGTGACGCCGCCGGGATTCAACCGCACGCGTTGCACCAACGAGTCCTTCTACCGCCTTGGCGAGGAGTACGGCACCCATCTTGACTACCGGGGGGATCTGCCCCCGGCCTGCCGTCTCTCCGTCGTGCCGGTTCTTGGTTTTCAGGGCGGCGCCGGTTACATCCCGAGCATGAGGCAAGGGTTCCTGCTTGAGTGGACGGTGCCGTCGGACGATTGCCCCAAGTGCGAGGCAAGCGGCGGACAGTGCAGGTATGCCAACGACGGCACCGGGTTTTCCTGCCATTGCTCCGGCGACGTGTACCCTGAGAAGTGCGGTGAGTTGACGAAAATTAACTCACAGCGCCACCATGATTTTGCCTAGTCAATCACTAGTTCTTTGATCAAGTAATCCGTTGCTGACATTCCCCTCAAAACTTCAAGTGGTAGTGACCGATTCAGTGACTCCAAAAATGCCTGACGTAGGTAGCAATTTTGATACTGCATCTGAAATAGAATTGCTGTCAAGAGTAGATTTTCTGCGTTTTCGGTCGCTGTTGCTAGGAGTATCGAGTGCTGATTGGACACAGATATTGTTGTTCTTTCAACTCCTTAGTGCTTGCTTGGTTTCTTGGAGCTCCTGCAGATTATTGTTTTGTTTTTGGTAGTTAGTGATGAAGTTAGCCCATTGATTGATTCCTAGTCAAAAAATACATTTGTGAATTAGTCAACAACGCTATTCAACAAAGATGCCGTGCCGACGGTAACGTGCTCCTGGTTTTGTTCCAAATAGACTATTCCCGTGATCGCCGATCAATGCTCTTACTTTTCTGTGCCCTGGTCCGTTTTTCAAACATGTGGAAGTCAATTTATTGCAACTGTTTGTTGTGGAATTAGGGGTGTAAAGTTGAATTGGACACTGTGGTTAGTTTCAGTGGACTACTATATTGAGTGTTGATGCACATGGTAATTGAGTGTTGCACTGCTTAAGCAGTGCAGAAGAGTGCCGTGATCGTACCGGTATTGCCAAGCATCATGGCAGCTTATGGCGTTCCAGTTTTTTTTTTAAATCTTCTCCTGGAGAGAATAGGGCACCAAGCTAGCTTCAACACAACTATCTTATCAGCTCTGTTCGTTTTCGCGAAAACTATGATCTAACAGCACATTGCTGTTAGATTTTGGCCTCCTTTTCAGAAGACTACAAATGTATGCATCCGTTAATCCTGGCATCACTTTTGATGATCTAAATGTGGAGATTGGAGTAAGCGCTTCAATGAAATGTATTCTAGGATGCATTGCCACCATCAATTGCGAACCTGAAATTTAACTGCTGCTGGATTTTCCTAATTAACCAGTCACAAAAGGGAGTTTGACTTTACGTAGAAGCTGCCAAAGTTAGCAACGCAATACCGATTCGGCATAAATAAAGTTCTTCTCATTTGTCAAGTGACTACTATACTTCTTCTTTGTTACTTCATAAACCGCAAAAAGATTTACAGACACTTTTTATGCAGGGGACAGTGGAAAGACAAGTATAAAGTTCATAATAGGTGAGTGTAATCAACTGTCAAGCTGCTCGGCCCATCTATTCCTTCAGTTCTTATTTCCTCGCTCCAAATTGTACCATATGGAGAATATGGGGGGTGAAATCTCATGATGAAGAACTAATCAGATCGTTTGTTTACCTCATGTTGCTAATGTGTTATATTGTTGTGAACAGTTGGAGCGGTAGCCGGTTTTGCTGCATTCTTGGCATTTGTCTTATTTGCCTTGTACCAACGAAAGAAGAGCAAACAAACTGTAGCTTCAAATGAGTTCATGCGAAGTGGATCTTCAATGACGTCATACAGTAAAGACCTTGAGCTGGGTGGTTCGCCTCATATCTTCACTTTCGAGGAACTCGAAGTGGCTACTGATGGATTTAGTGCTTCAAGGGAGCTTGGTGATGGTGGCTTTGGAACTGTTTATAAAGGTAAAACACATGTTTGCCAAACTCGTTGCTTGTCAATCTTCTAAGTAAATTGCAGATGCTAGGACCTCCATTCTCAACTGTATTTCTGATAAAGTTATCTTGCCCTTAATTCACTTGGCAATGACAACTTCGACATTTTTGTCATTCAGGAAAACTCAAGGATGGGAGAGTAGTTGCGGTGAAACGCCTTTACAAGAACAACTACAGACGAGTTGAGCAGTTCCTGAATGAGGTCGACATCCTGTCCCGCCTGCTCCACCAGAACCTGGTCATCCTATATGGCTGCACTTCTCGGATGAGCCGCGACCTTCTCCTGGTGTACGAGTTCATCGCAAATGGGACTGTCGCAGACCATCTTCACGGATCACACTCGGCGGAACGAGGCCTCACGTGGCCTCTAAGACTGAACATTGCCATAGAAACAGCTGAAGCACTGGCCTACCTCCATGCAGTCGAGATCATACATCGTGATGTGAAGACAACCAACATATTGCTGGACAACAACTTTCATGTCAAAGTTGCAGACTTTGGGTTGTCGCGCCTGTTCCCTCTCGAGGTCACCCATGTCTCGACTGTTCCACAGGGCACACCTGGTTACGTCGACCCCGTGTACCACCAGTGCTACAAGCTGACCGACAAGAGCGACGTCTACAGCTTCGGCGTCGTGTTGGTGGAGCTGATATCCTCAAAGCCTGCTGTGGACATGAGTAGGAGCCAAAGTGAGATCAACCTGGCCAACATGGCCCTCAACAGGATTCAGAACCATGAAGTTTTTCAGTTGGTTGATCCGGAGCTCGGCTATGACACCGACCCCGAAACAAAGAGAACGATTGACCGTGTGGCCGAGGTGGCCTTCCAGTGCCTGCAGATGGAGAGGGATCTGAGGCCGTCGATCAAGGAGGTGGTGGAGATCCTGACTTACGTCAGGGACGGAGACTATCGAGCTAAGAGCATGAAGAAGAAGGCGTCTCAGAAAGAGGACGCGCACTTGCTCACGAATGACCTGCAGTTTTCGCCTGACTCGGTCATCCATAGATTCCATAGCCAGTCAACTAACCACTCGGTAGCATCGAATGCTAGCGGGTTATGATGTGCTTTGTATTGATTCTGAAGAAATAAGGCCGCCCTGTTGATCGGATGAGTTGTATATAGCATAGAGTTTTCTGATGAGGTGGTTCATCTTACTAATAAGTACAGGCTCATGGTTACAGTAACTCTGCATTTCTGAGCTTAGCAATGATTCAAATGGTAGGTGTATGTACTAGGAGCAAATTCCAGGATAAGCACTGTAATATTCATATAGTCAGTTCAAGCTGACGAAAAGATTGAATTCAGAAGTTGAACTGATCAACATGCATATTATAAGTAATCACATTGTACTTATATATATGAGTAATATACAGTTATTTGAGATACTTACGGCAGATACATCGTGTGACTTTGCTGGTCTGTTTGGCAGTTGTCATATATAATCATCTGAGAATTCTTTCTGCGGGCAGGCATTTGAAATTTGGAACTCAAGCCAATGTATTGTACCACCAGTTTTACTTGGTGTCAGCACGATAGGTACATTTTCTTCTGAAATCTGCACAAGGACACAAGAGACCAAGGCCCAGCTGATGCTGTGGAATGTCGGTCGTGCTGCACGGTTGCTGCAGAATGTCGCTCTAGCGACCTTTTGGTATCAGAGGCTCTCACTCACCCGCCCCACAAAAAAAGTCCCGTGCTCATTTCCTTATTTGACGGAGAATATCCGAAATGGTGGAAGGATTGTAGTGAAAAGTACTTTTAGATGTTTGATGTTCCACATGATAGCTTGGCAAATTATGCCACTTTGCACTTTCATGGAGTAGCTACGTCTTGGTTACATGTCATGAGTCATTGCATATAGTTGATACCTGGTCTCATTTAGTTCTAGTGTTTATATGCTAAATTTGACACGAATAAGTATGAGCACCATCTCAAGAAACTACCCAAACCGAAACAAATAGCCAAATAGGCACAGTCACTAAATATCAAGCTAGATTTGAAGAACCCATGTATAAAGTCTTGTACATAATTGATGTTATGATGGAACTTTCTTAGGAAAATATTGATTATGGTCTAAACGACAACATTAGAATCTGGGTGCTTCCGAAAAATGAAAAACACAATTGTGCTTTCAGAAAAAAGGGTGAAAAGCACAGTTTTGCTTTCGGTGTCTGATTTTCATTTTTTTGGTTTTCCTGTTTTCCCCCGATTCTATTTTCCTTTTTTTTGGTATTCCTTGTTTTTAGTTTTATCAATTCCCTTTTTTCGATAAAAAGTTCGTCCAAACTTATCAACATAGAGTCTAGTTTCCAAGATCTCGACACGACAAACCGAACAGTGGAAATGGTTCGTGATTTGGATATAAAGTTCAAGAGGTAAAACATTTTGCAAAAGAAAGAGAATCTAACAAAAAAGCCCAAAACTCTTAGTTGTGACAAGTGTCACACATGCAATGCGCCACTTGTCACCGCGAGAGAAGGTATGCGTGACCTTTGTACTCTAATTAGTGATCTATTTTCTCTCGTGTACAATTTTTTTTGGCTAAACTCTCTCCACTTTATTCGTTTAGAGAAATGTCCATAGGGATATAATTTAGGTCTGGAGGTTGGAGCAGGCACAACTGGCGTCTTGCATGTAGACCTAGAGCAGATTTTTTTTTCAAAACTATGATATATTTTATAGCATTTTCGGAAACTATAGGACGTAATGCAAAAAAAACCAAAACTAGTAGCCCGTCGGCCATCTTCTGGCCGAAGTAGCAGTTTTCGGCCACAGTTAGGCCGAAGTAGGGTTTTCGGCCAACACTTGACCGAAAAGTGGGGCACCTGGCCGAAAAGTTAGTTTCCGGTCAACTCTTGGCCGAAGTAGACTTTTTGGTCAAGTCTAGACCGAAAAGTACTACTTCGGTCTCGTGTAGGCCGAAGTTGCATGGCTCATGCTGAAATGTATTTTCTCGCCACCCGTTTCCCGCCAACCCCTTCCCGCCACTCGTTTCTCGCCAACCCCTTTCCGCCATATGTTCCCGCCACCCGTGTCCCGCCAATCCCTTCCCGCCTTATTTTCCCGCCAATCCCTTCCCGCCTTATTTCCCCGCCAACGCTTTCCCGCCATAACGCAGTTATTCTTTCCCGCCATTTTCTCCTCTGTATCTATAAAACCCCCTTCAGCCGAAGGTGGATAAGCATTCCAGTGTAGTGTAGTCGAGATGTCCCATTATCCGTTCGATCGTAGTTTTCACCCTGGGATGAGCAGCACTCTTCTGAGTCTAGTTACCGATTTCAGGATGGACAATAGGATAGTTCCATGGGACGAACTCATCAGTAGTGACACCATAATGAATGAGTTGGCTCACCAATTACGTAGGTCTGGGTGGCCTGAAAGGACCTATAAGGAGGTACGTCAAGAACTTCTTAGGTTGCATGAAAGGTGGAAGAAGGTAGTGGAGCCGAAGAGTGAAACTTTCAGAAGGACTGCAGCAAAGAATACATTTTTATGGACTGAGGAGAGCGAGGACGACGAAGATATCTTCATGTCGCCGCTTCCGGGTTCTGCATCGTCGAAGGGCAAGAGTTCTGCATCGTCCAAAGGCAAGACTTCTGCATCCTCGAAGGGCAAGAGTTCTGCATCCAGCAAGGGCAAGAGTTCTGCATCGACGGAGGGCAAGAGGACCGCATCGTCGAAGGGCAAGAAGGCTGCATCAACGGAGGATGACGATGATGACTTCATGTAGTATGTAAGATGTATTCCAGTTGTACCGTTTCATTCAGATGTATTTGCATTATTAGTTTGTATTGTATTATTGTAGGGCATTATGTTCTATCTGAATTTCATTTTGTAGTATGTAAGATGTATTGCACAAGTTCAACTGGAACAAGAATGCGAATTAATAGTAATATGTCTCTCGCATACATAAAACAATATATGTCTCCTGATCAGATAGAAGGAAGTGCGATAGTAACACATACATGAAGCATGTCTCATACATAAATACTGACACACATATGCGAATAGTCTGAAACTAACATAGATAATGAGTCATACATAGATAGATAAGCATATCACTGCGGGGGACGGCGACGAGTCTGGGTCTTCCTCGGGCGAGGACCGGAAGGCGATAAGCGCTGAGGCGGTGGACGAGGCTCGCGATAACCACGACCATAGTTAACCTCGTCTGTCACGGTCTGTGTCTCCTGCGTCGGTGTTGGTGGCGGAGTGTGAAACACTGTCTCCTCTAGCTCCGCGACACATTATATAGCTTGTGAGTTATTTCTTCCTCGTCCGCCCCTTCGGCCTCGACTGCCACGACCACGTCCGCCTCTTGCTCTTGTTGTCGCAGCCGTCGATGTGGAAGCACTCGTCGATGCGGAAGCACCATCTTTGTTCAGGTCGGGACAATATTTCATCCTATGCCCATAAGCCGCGCATAACAAACATTGCCTGGTTGCTCCACCAGCTTCAGACTGGTCCATATCGTTCAGGATGCGACGGGCCTTTCGTCTGCCCCTACTTGTTCGCCGAAGGTCTGGATGCGGGATGTATACTCTCTCACCATCGTTTACCTTGTTAAAATTGCCGACGACTCTAAACCCTGTCATCTCGCCTGTCCAGGTGTTGAGCACTGCCTCTTTTAAAAAGTATGGGGACACGAAGGAGATAGCATCCAACTCAATCTGGCCACAGGCAGCCAACACATGAGAGCAAGGTAGGTGCAACAACTTCGGTTTGTTGCATGTACACTCACACGTTGGATAAAATTCCGTTCCAATTTTTACCTCGTGTGTCTTCACCTCATTTCCAGAACCAAAACCATCGGTAGGAAGCTGAACCTCATACCTCCTTTCTTGATTCCCTATGAGTCTGACAGTGTGCTTCTTTGCTTTCTCTATCTTCTTTGTCATGTATTCCATGACACGGCTACAATAAGGTGTGTTCTGATTATCTTCAATATGCTTCTTTGCTAACTCGTGCCTTTCTCTGAAATATCTCAAAGTGCCGTGGAATACAGCCTCCACAATAGCTGTGAGTGGCAATGCTCTATTCCCTCTCAGCACAAAGTTATACACCTCTGCAAGATTGGTTGTCATGTGGCCATACCTAGCTCCATGTGTGTCATGCAGTAAAGACCAATTCACTGGAGGCTCTTTCTCTATCCACTCAGAAAAATTCTTTATTGCCCTTCCCTTCTTTCTCTTAGTATTAGGAGGGTCAATTGCTGGCAAGTCACAAAGACCTACTGGCTCCTCTAGCTCCGCGATGAGTGCTGCTAATTTAACTTGATCTTCTTCCATTTTCTTCCTCGCACGGACCTGCTTCTTAGTAAACTCATCTAGTTTTGACCAAATAAATTCGTATTTGCGCTGTTGGCTCTGCTTGCATAATTTTTTGAACAAGTTCATCAACCGCTTGTTCTTGAACTGTGAGAAAAAATTAGCCCCAAGATGGCGCATGCACCACCGGCTCTGCAAGTCCCTCCAAGGTGTTGGTTCGTCATCTGTTGGATTACGAAGTGTCTTCACGGCCTTCAATATACCAGCATGTCTGTCATGAATGACACACACGTTTGGTCGGTCCTTCACGATGGCAATTTTCACTTGGCGGAAGAACCATACCCAGCTGAGAAAGTTCTCACCCTCCACAAATGCCATGGCAAGTGGGATGATTTGATTGTTCCCGTCCACACCAATAGCAGTCAGAATTTGCCCTCTATATTGACCGGTCAGGAATGTACCATCCACAAACATAACAGGAGGACAATGCCGGAAAGCTTCGATGCACATACAAAAGAGAAAAACACTCGTTTCAACACCTTGAAATCTGGTATACTCAGCAACCTCGTGTGTTGTACATTCACATAAGTGCCGGGATTCCTCTCCTTCAGTATGCCCAGGAGACGGACAACATTATCATATGAGTCGAAGAACGTCCCAAACCTTTCCTCCATAGCCTTCTGCTTAGCCCTCCAAGCCTTCCCATAAGGAATGACATAATTCCATCTGACCTTCACTGCTGTCTGGATGTGTTTTGCTTCCATATCTTTCTTCTCTACTATCTCAGTATACA